CCCTCGGTCTGACCATCGGCGCTCGCTTTAGTGACGCCAGGTCTTCCAGAAGCTTTGATATGAACCGAGCAGTAGAACCTGGTTCCCAGGATTTGCACCCGTGACCACGCGCGTTGCGACCAGTCCAGAGTGCCCAGGCGCCACATATAATTGTTTCAGTGGTCGCGATCCTCCCTGACCGCATGTGGAGAACATCCCGAGCCCAAGTGCAACTCTGTATGCTTGGCACCGGCATCCCCGTCTCCTTCTTCACCTCTTTCCAGAATCGCTTCGCGAGCGGGCAGTCGAAGAACACATGAAGCAAGGTCTCATCTCGACTGCCACACACCTCACAGTGGCTTTCTCTTGCCACATGTCGCCTCTTGAGCTCCGACTTTGACGGTAGGGAATTATGGAGCACCCTCCACCAGAAGACACGAACCTTGGGTGGCACATTCAGTTTCCATAGCACCATCCAAAAGGTCGAGTCACCTGAAGCTGATGCCTGCCTGTTATCATCGGCCATCGCTTTTTCCATCTGGTCCCGCTTGAGCAGCTTGTAAGCAGATTTTACTGAATAAGCCCCATGCTTTTCATGTGCCCAGGCGATCACATCTTCATCTAGACGGTTGCTCGGCTTGATCTTCAGCACCTCAGCCGCCTCCAACGCCAAGAATGAGCTACGTATCAACTCTTCATTCCACACACATGTCCTGGGTATGAACAGATCCCGTACACGCTCCACAGTGGTCTTAGGCATACGAACCAAAGGTTTGAGAGGTCGCACGCCAGGGATCCAGTTGTCTTCCCAAATACTGATGTCCCCTGGTCCAACTCTCTTGATCAGACCCCGGGCAAGGACGTCTCTGCCATGAAGGATTGCCTTCCACGTAGCCGAGCTTCGTCTTTTCTTGGTAGCTGAAAGGAAATCACAGTTAGGGTAATATTTCTCCTTCAGTACCTTGGCGCATAACGAGTCCGGCCGTGAAAACAATCTCCATCCTTGCTTCCCAAGCATTGCATGATTGAACAAAGCAAAATCATGAAAGCCCACTCCTCCATCCTCTTTCGATGTTGTGAGTTTCTCCCATTTTAGCCAATGCATTTTGTGGTTATCGAGGGAACTCCCCCACCAGTAATTAGATACTGTCGAGGTAAGTTTCTGACACACCGTAGGCGACAATTTGAAACAAGACATAGGGTAGGTGGGCACCGCCTGTGCATTGGCTTTCAGAAGTACCTCCCGAGCAGCACAACTGAGTCCCTTCTCTGCCCATCCTCCCACCATGCCGCGCATCCTTGCTGGCACATAGTTGAACGCGTCAGTTGCACCACGCTCAGCCGCCGTAGGTAAGCCCAAATAGCGCTCCCCCAGCGCTTCAGTACCGATTTGCAAGCTGGTATGAACCACCCTTCTGTCTTCGTCGTCACAATTCGGACTGAAAAAGATGGCAGACTTGTTTTTATTCACAAGCTGCCCCGACCCTCGGTGATACTCGTCAAGGATCGTTGCCACTCTGTCCGCCCCCCTCTTCGACGCCTGTGTGAATATCAAACAATCATCAGCAAACAAAAGGTGCGAGATCCATGGCGCATGCCGACTGACTCTCACCCCCCTTGAGACATATTGTGGTCCAATGTTCTTTAGCATACATGATAAACCTTCCGAGCATATTAGAAATAGATAAGGCAAAATGGGATCCCCCTGACATAGCCCTCTCGACGGTTTAAACTCATCAGAGAAGACTCCATTCACCCTCACTGAAAAGGTCACAGATGTCACACACTTCATCACTAGAGAAATCCAAACTTCAGGGAATCCCATTGCTCTCATGATGCATTCAAGATATCACCACTCAACCCTATCATAGGCCTTAGCCATGTCCAACTTGATTGCACAATCACCTTGTTTTCCCCTTTTGTTCCTCAGATAGTGTATGCATTCATACGCAATCAGGACATTATCAGTAATCAAACGGCCTGGTATGAACGCACTTTGTTCAAATGAGATCACCTCCTCCAAAATCCGGCCAAGTCGATTTGCCATCGCTTTGAACAAATTTTATATAGGACATTGCATAGAGAAATCGGTTTGGTCTCAAGTTAAATCTTGTGGATTAGTTACCTTAGGAATAAGGACCAAAGAAGGTTTTATTGACCTCCTCGGGTAGCTCTCCACCATTCGTAAAACCCAATGCCGCCTCCATCACACACTTTTGACCAGTCCCAGTCGTTTGAAAAAGTCCGCGTTGAAGCCGTCAACACCCGGAGATTTGTTTGGTCCCATATGAAATAACGCCCTCAACCTCCTGCTCGTAAAAGGGTACCGCTAGTAATTCACTCATCTCCAAATCACCTTTCTAAGACGTGAGTACACACCAGCCCGATACCAGATCATCCTGGCCGAGAAAAGGCGTTGGTAGAAATCACATGCCAATCTTTCTTTGTCTACCTGCTCAGAAAGACACGACCATCATCATCCTTGAGCTGCTTGATCCGGTTAGTTCTGCTTCTAGCTTTGGCTTTGGCCTGAAAAAATTCAGTATTCCTGTCGCCCTCCCGAAGCCAACTGATCCTGGATCGTTGCTTTGCCATCACTTCCTCCCGTGCAAGGACCTCTGCAAGCCGTGACACAATTGATCGTTCCCTATCCGTAGGCCCTCGATAGAGAGTATTCCCTCTCTCTTCCTCTAGCTGCGCTCTGAGCTCCTTAACTTGCTTTGTGACCGAGCCAAAGACGTCTCGATCCCAAGTTTTTAGTGCTCCTTGCAAGGTTGAGAGAGTATTCGCCACTGTGGACAATTCTGCCCTGCCCGGCCTCGGGTCCCAGGATTTGTTCACAAACTCATTGTACTCCCCGTGAGTTTTCCACAAGTTTTCATACCGGAATGGTTTGGGACGCCTGCCCCCCGCCCGCGCCACCGGCTCTGAATTCCTCACCTCCACCAAGAGGCCAACATGATCCGACTCCGTCAGAGGGAGATGGAACACTTCGGATCCTCCCAGCCGATCCATGAACTTACAGTCTCCCAAGGCACGATCCAACCTGACCTTGACGTTTGATCAAAGATCCCGCCTATTGTCCCAGGTGTACGGTAGACCATGGAAACCAAGGTCGGTGAAGCCACAGTCACTGACCACGTCCTGGAACGTGGTCACCTGCCACAGCTCCCTCTCGATGGCTCCAATCTGCTCCTCCACCGCCAAAACCTCGTTGAAATCCCCCAAACACAACCATGGTTCACTCGACTGTGCTCGCAGAAATCGCAGGAGGTACCAGCTCTCCTTCCTTCGCTCCCTTCTGGGTTCACCATAAAACCCCGTAAGCCGCCAATGAGAAATCTTCAGCCGCTCACATGACAACATCACATCAATATGTGACCTTGACTTGCTCATCTCTGCGATCATGACGTCGCCCACGCCACAACAAAGACTAAACCGCCGCTTAAACCCTCCGCCTTGACCACTATGGCATTTTGGAAGCCAAGGTCCGCAATCAAGCCGAGAGCTCTCTCCTCCCCATCCTCGCTCTCCATCAGAACACCACCGCTGGCCTCTTCTCCACCACCAATGGCGGATCTCTTGAATCGCCTCGGGCGCCTGCAGCATGACAGTTCACACTAAGGATATTCATTGTGCCCGTGGGATCGCTCTCCGCAACCGCGCCCGATCTCGCATTGTTGTTTGCACCACGCTTTTGTTTCTTGAGGGTTTCAATCATACTCCCCCACTCTCACGGCCCGGATCCATCTGATTCACCATGAGCTCACCAGGTCCTTACGCACACCAGAAAGCAGATGATCCATCCACCGAAATGTTCAGTCGTGTGTGTGTGGGTGGTAGCTCCTTTCGACTTCCTCTTGCGAGGACCCGGCGGCGCCCCCTCCTCATCCATCATATCAAGCTTCACCTTGCACCCCGCCCACCTTCATTGTTTCTTCTAGCCACGTCCACCCGGTCTTCCTTCAGAGGTGATTGCACCTCTTGTTCCTCCGATTCCCCCATCACGCTATCAGAGTCTAAAAATGCAGGAAAGAGGCCAGGCCGAAAATTGTGGTGAACGCATGATGTGGTCCATTGCATGATTGCATCAACTTTTTAACTTCTTGATTAGTACCATACATTCCAATGAAAATATATCTTAGGATAGGAGGTGGTTCATTCCGCCTTCCAAACTTTAGTCGCTGTCCCATCGGATGGTTGACACATGCATAGAGTATTAAATATAGACTAATTATGAAACTAAATATACAGATTGAGATTAGTTTGGGAGACGAATTTATTAAACCTAATTAGTCCATGATTTGACAGCGTGGTGCTACAGTAAAATGTGCTAATGATGAATTAATTAGGCTTAATAAATTCGTCTCGCGGATTACTGACAAATTCTGTAATTTGTTTTTTTTAGTATCCGAACATCCCATACAACACTCCACGTGACATGCAATGTGACACCTCTTAAACTTTAACCCATACGTTTAAACACCCCCTTAAAAACTATGCCAAAAGCGCGCGCACACCATCTATAAAACATGGTTTGTAATAATCCTAAAGTATCATCATTATCCTATTCCCTCGCGTAACATGGGTCTTCCGTGTTAGTTTGTCTAAAAGCAGAGGAGAACGTGGAACGTTGGCCCTGTTTGGATCCATGGGTTAGAGCTAGTTTGGGCTAGTTGGAGCTCAACTAGCCCTAAAGTAGCCAAACATGAAGGCTAGAGTGGGTTATTTGCAACTAGCCCACCCTAAAAAACTATCCCCCCAAATAGGTGATTATTTAGGCTAGTTGGGGCTATTTGAGGTGGGGTCCACTGTTTTCTCTCTACTTTCACCCGCAACAATGATTTGGAAAACACATTTATTATCATTTTAACCTTTGTATCCAAACATCTCTTAGGCTAGAGTTAGTTCAGGGCTAGTCCTGAGCTAGAAACTAACTCTAACCTCTAGGTGTGCTAGAGTATCCAAACAGGGCCGTTGTTTGCATTGCTCTCCAGTCTCCAGGCAGATGGTCACCAACCATGCCCAGCGACGTACGCATGCACGTCATCCTCGTCCCGTTCCCGGCGCAGGGCCACTTCGCCGCGTTCCTCTCCCTCACGGCGCGCCTCCACGCCGCGCTGCCCACGGCGGCCGTCACGCTCGTGTCCACCTCGCGCAACGTGGTCGCGCTCCGCGCAAGCTCCTCCTCCGCGGCGGCGGCGGGGGCGCCGTTCCTCAGGTTCCACGCGCTGCCCTTCGCGCCAGAGGAGCACGGCCTGCCGGCGGGGGCCGAGTCCGCCGACACCGTCCACGTCCGCCACTTCCTCGCGCTTTTCCAGTCTACCGAGTCGCCCGCGCTCCAAGCCGCCTTCGACGCCTTCCTGGCCGGCGTCTGCGTCGACGCTGCTGAAGAAGAACCGGTCGTCGTCGTCGCTGACCCCTTCCAGGCGTGGACGACCGCCGCCGCGGGCCGGCGCGGAGCAGGCCACGCGTTCCTCGACTCCTGCGGCGCGTTCGGCAGCGTGGTGTACCACTCGCTCTGGAACCACCTCCCGCACCGGCGCGCGCCCGGAGGCGAGGCGGAGGCGTTCTGCGTGCCGGACCACCCGGAGGTCACGGTCCACCGCTCGCAGCTCCCGGCGCACCTCCTCCTCGCCGACGGCACGGACCCGTGGTCCGCCTTTCATCGCCGGCAGATAGCGCTCGGGTACGGCACCGACGCCGTGCTCATCAACACCGCGGAGGAGTTGGAGCCGGCCGAGCTGCGACAGCGTCATGCGGTGGCTGGACGCCCGTGAGAAGTTGAATTTGTCGGTTCTGTACATCTCGTTCGGCTCCCAGAATAGCTTACGGCCAGACCAAATGATGGAACTGGCCGCGGCGCTCGAGCTCACCGGCCGGCCATTCCTCTGGGCCATCCGGCCGCCCGTCGGGCTCGGCGACGACACCGAAACGTTCGGATTGGACAAGTGGCTGCCGGAAGGGTTCGAGGAGAGGGTGCGCTCCAACGACACGGGTCTCCTGGTCCGCGGGTGGGCGCCGCAGCTGAGCATCCTGGCGCACGCGTCGACCGGCGCGTTCCTGAGCCACTGCGGGTGGAACTCGGTGCTGGAGAGCGTGGCGCACGGCGTGCCCATCATCGGGTGGCCGCTGCAAGGGGACCAGTTCTTCAACTGCGAGATGCTGGAGCGGGAGTGGGGCGCCTGCGTCGAGGTGGCGAGGGGCAACGCCGAGGGCTCGTCGTCGACGGTCGAGCGGCAGCGGCTGGCGGAGGTCCTGGAGACGGTGATGGGGGACACCGCGAAAGGGGCTGAGATGAGGCGGCGCGTGAAGGAGATTCAGGAGCTGATCGGCAGCACCCAAGGGAATGGCGGTGCTTCCTCCGCGGAAGCGTTAAAGAAACTGTTCACCGCGATGCTGCATGCTACAGATGCTGCTGCCTTGGAGTGCTGATGCCGGTGCGGGCTCGGTGCTACTGTGCCACATGCCAGCTGAGTTCTGCTTGTACCATTGCAAGCAGCTGATTTTGGACATCCTTCAGGCTTCATGTACTATGGATTATATTAATGATGGATGATGGTATTTACTCGTGCCACTACCATTTGCATGTAATCATTTTCCTCTAAATTCGGACGGATCAGAGTTGCTTGCTGCAGGACTGTCGCAAAGCAGGCAGGTGCAATGGTCACCTTCTCATATGAGCACCGAGAAAATTCAGATTGAGTGCGCGTTTAGTTCGCGAAAACTTTTGGGTTTGGCTACCGTAGCATTTTCGTTTGTATTTAGTAATTAGTATTTAATTATGGACTAATTAGGTTCGAAAGTTTCGTCTCGCGATTTCTCACCCAACTGTATAATTATTTTGTTTTTTCAAATATATTTAGTACTCCATATATGTGCCGCAAGATTTGATGTGACATTTAGGATGAAAATTTTTGGAAACTAAACAGGACCTAAGGAGACAAACTCATGTTTGCTTGCACTTGCATTGCAGGCCTAAAACTTCTCTCTCCAATTTACAGATGCAAGTACTTGGATCATCGGACTACGTGAGGGCACCTACAGCGGTGGGTCGACCCATCAGGGCCACGTACACCAGCTTCGAGTCGACCCTCTCATCCTCCAGTGTTGTCGACTCATCGTGATCTGATTGCGAATAAAAAACCCCTTGGCTTTTGGACCCGGCCCACTCGCACGACTTGGTTGAAGTCTCCGTCCCCTTCATCCCCCCGTCTCCTTTCCGCATCATTCTTCACGAGCAGGCAACGGCGGCACGGCGGCGCATCCAGATCTCGGCCATTCGGCGACAGCATCAGGCGCACCTCACCTCTCCGCATCGCCTCCTCCCTCTGCCTCAGGCGACTCCAGCGGCCAGGCACCCGCCGTACGAGGTTGGCTCCGAGCTCGGCGCGCGGGGGACCCGTCCGCGGCGGCGCGGCGAGGCGCGGACTGCAAGCAGAGGGCTGCTTCAAGGAGCAGCTGGATGTCGCGGTCGGCTGCGTACATGGAGGTCGAGGCTCCGCCCGCCGCTGTCGCAGGAGGACACTTCCACTCGTCCGCGTCGAGGTGAGCTGCCCCGTCGATCTGTTACGGTTTTGGTGGGCGGGCATCGATCTGTTAAATTCGATTTATGCGTGCATTCCAACGTTTGACTTATACACTATGAATCTTGGATTTTCTGTTTCTTTTCAAAAATGATTTATCCGATCTGAAAGTTGGGTACAGAAAAAAAAAGGATCATGGAAACTAAATGGGGGCGGTACCACTTATTTTGCATCTTATGAGCGATGCGTACACAATAAGATTGAAAAGATAAATTGGGATTACATAAAAAAAAACACTATAGAAAAATGTGCTAGACGAACATGGTTGGAATTGGTGATTGATTGATTGTGAAATGTGAATCGGTAGTTGGTAGACGGTAGAGACTAGAGACGAAGGTTTTCATATGCCTAAAATTGGCGATTGAGAGATTGGTGGAAATGTGACCTGTCTACAGGCCTAATTCTTTGCGCCCCGGCGGCCGCCGCGCCACCTGCTGCCCGCCGCGGCTGATCGTGCCCTCGCTGTCGACCTAGCGCACACAAACGGGTACTAGTGGACCCTGACACTGACGGGGTCCGCAGGCGTCTGCTGCCTCGCCTTGGTGTCTCCTCCTCCTCCCGACGCTGGCTGGGCATCCGCCGCCTCGTCCCTCTCTTCTCGATGCTGGTGATGTTCGGGGGTGGTGCAGGTCCCATGTGGACGCGCAAAACGGTGCGAAAAAGGACTGTAGGCGTGGGCGTCCGGACGGCTTGGCACTAGCAAGCCCGATTTAGCAAAAGCTTAATCTGAGTTTATGTGTGTCATAAGCACGTGGGTTGTATTCTAACTTTTACAATCTCACAAACAGATGTGCATGATGATAACCACTTGTTTAAACTGTAGTTAATTTTTTTTCATATGTGATTATATTTATTATAATACATAGTATTTATGGGTATTGAGATTTATATATCTTTATCGTTTATGTTTATGAGCCTGTTAAGTCTTTATAAAACCCAATACAAATAGGGCGACCTTATTAGGCCACCAAAATTTTAGAGCCCATACGAGCCTCACATAGCACTGAGCAGTGAAGAGTTTGTTTTGTTTTTTTCCCCGAAAAACGCAGGAGAGCTGCACTTTAGTATATTAAGAAGAAGACCCTAAACTACACCAACACACTTCTGACCTAACCCTGATCATGATTATATACGAGTTAGAATACATTTATTGCAATGATACCAAGTTCAATTCTTATAGCGAACGAGCCAGATGGCTCAATGGTGAGAGTTGTTTAGCGGAGGCCCCATAGCCTGGGTTTGAGCCCCGCTTGGCGTAGGCTTCGCATCGGGGGTTTTTCCCCATTTTATTTGCAGTCTCAAGTAGAAATGTTTCACAACGGTCAGTCTCAAGTACATGATTTTCTGAATTTTCAGTTAATTGTGAGTAAGATTGAAGTTATTGTATATTGAAAGCAAACCTACAAGCAACTAGATGGATGTTGGATGGTTCTAGGGACATAGTTGCTGCTAATTTTCTTTAGAGATCTATAGTTCTATACTTGTTTGGGACTTTCTGTACATGTCTGAAACACTTCTTGGGATACTACAGTTGTAGTGCATTTTTGCTTTGGGGTGTTGTAGTTTCTGTTCAGAATAGTAATGATTCTGGACAGGCTAGAGTGGGTGTGCTTAAGCAGCTGAATCACTACCTTTCTTTTCTTTTTGGTGACTTAGTATGTTTTGAGTGCAATTACCAATTTCTAATGATCTGAAAGTATCTCTAATAGATGAACTCCTGTTCACTGTGCTTAGCTGAACTCCTGGTTCTCATGCTCTGAAAGTATCTCAAATTGAGCACCTCTTTGTTCTTCTTTTCACTATGGTTAACTGAATATTTCTCGTGCTTGGTACTGCATCCTTTGGAACCATATCAGTCTTTGCAGTTGGATATGGTGCCAGTTATTGAAACCCTCAAATGTTCCTATGTTTTTCTTATCTAGTGATTCTTTGTATGTAGTGATTCTTTGTATGTTGCTGCATTGTTCATTTACACTAGCTCAGGTTTGTAGTAATGCTCCTATTTATTTACCTGATTGTTAACTTGTCAATACCTGGGAATCCTAGGATGGTTCTAGCTGGTCCGCATATGAGATCGATTTCATGATCTGCTATATCTTTTGTTAGGTTCCATTTAATCTATCCGTGCTAACTATGATATGGTTCGATCGTGCTAGCTACATCATGTGCAGCACTTAATTTTAGGTCATTTTAGCATGCATTTTTGTTGTTTGGTTTTGTTTGATTGGGCTATAGATCAGAGTATACTGTTTCAGACTACCTGTTGGTTTATTTATTAAATTTGGATCTGTATGTGTGTCATATGTCTTCATGATTAACATGGATGGAAATATCTCTTCAATCCTTTAGATATATACATGGATGGATAGGTATATATGTTGCTGTGGGTTTTACCGGTACTTTGTTAGATATATACATGGTTAGATACATGAAGAATGAAGCAGCATGCAGAGTTTAATAATTCTTGTTTATGTAATAAAAAAAGGATACGTGTATATGTCCCTTCATAGTGCTGCATTGTTCATTTACACTAGCTCAGGTTTTATATTTTGCTTCTGTTGGTTTGGTCTGTTGGCGTGTGTAACCCCAGCAATACTATGTTCAAGCTTTCGAATACTTAAAAGCTAAGCTAGTAGTGGGTCAAGGTGACAAGGTCTTTTGGTCCAAAAGAAAGGTTATTTATTTCAGTGTCAGCTTCGTACTCATCTCCGCATAAATGGAGCCCCCACACCCAGAGACGCCGTGGGCAGAGTTGGTGGTGTCTGGCCAATGGCCATGGCGCTGGCAGCTTTCGCTCGCGCACGTTGACTCTACCTGAATGATGAACCAATCCCAGATGCCAGAGGAAAAATATAAAACTGGCCGGTCGGCCGGCAGCAGAGGAGAGCGAGACGAGGAAGAAGCTTCAGAGACCTTCCACCCTAGCTAGTTAGCTCCCTGCTGAGCTCAAGACTTAGACTGAGAGTGACAAGGGCTGGGCCATCCATCGCTTAGCTAGCCATCCCACCTAGCTCATATTCAGCAAGCCATTGTGACATGCATGTAGGATGACTAGGACTATGCTATTTTGGCCAACAAAATGATGATTGTCTTGGCCTCTTACATCCAAATTAATAAAGTTGTCTGATCACTTTTTATTTTTAATTTTCAACATGCCTGTATCTATCAAAGTTCAGTAGTGCTAGCTACAGCTAACTGATTGGCACATATAAACCTTTTGTTTCCTCTACTTTTTGCTTATTATTGTCATCATGTGGCTGGTTTTACTGGGTGTCTAAATGAGCTAGCCTAGTTTATCTTGTGCTGAGACTACCTGCAGTTTGTGATATATTAGTCTTTCCAGTCCATATGTACTTATTATTCTTTTGACAGAAGTAATACCTAGCTTTTATAGAAAACCAATACTGCTATAGCAGCAGAAAAAATGGCCTAGCAATTTTACTGGGTGTCTGATGTCTCTGAAGGGTGGGCCTGGTGCAAGCGGTAGAGTCTTACCGCCTGTGACCGGAAGGTCCCGGGTTCAAGTCGCGATCTCCTCGCATTGCATAGGCGAGGGTAAGGCTTGCCACTGACACTCTTCCCCGGACCCCGCACAGAGCGGGAGCTCTCTGCACTGGGTACGCTCTTTCTGATGTCAGTGTTTCTTTGGATCAAATGTAGCAATTTTTTCTTTTTGTTATTTTATTATATATAACAATAATAACAATTGGGCCTAGCAAGTTGGGTTATTGGCGTGGTTTTCTTAAACTGTTCTTTTTTCATGTCAAATTGCGTAGTTACTACGAAGAAGCAACTATGATGCAGAGTCCATGCTGAAGGCATGTGGGATTACAATTGCTAGAAGCTTTACATAAGTATGTCATTTTGGTAAATAAATTGTAGTAGTACAAATTCTATCATTTTTTTGGAGTAACAAATACTAGCATTTTGGTAAACGTTCTCTCTTTCTGAAAAAGGAGGCCCACTTTGCCCATTGAGGCATTGCCGACTGCCGCCCTTGCGAGGACAGAAGGGTGTGCCAAGGCCCAAGGGAAGGGATGGTGGGCTAGAGTCGAGAGAGGACTGCTGTGCGGTAAGAGGGCCAGAGGCCTAATATGGGCCTTGTTTAGATTGTTTCAAAGTTCCAAGTTTTTTCACTCTCTCCGTCACATCGAATTTAGGGACACATGCATGTAGCAGTAAATGTAGATAAAAAAATAATTAATTACACAGTTTGATTGTAAATTACGAGACGAATCTTTTGAGCCTAGTTAGTCCATGATTGAACAATAATTGTAAAATATAAACGAAAGTGCTACAGTGCCAAATTTTTCTAACTCTTGCAATCTAAACAAGGCCATGATGTGAACAGGCTCTTTAATAGGGCCTGCTAAGACGAACTCCTTTCTAAGTTGGGAAGATTGTTAACGAGGCTCAGCCATCCACTAGAAAAAAAAAATCATTTTCGCTATCGACTTTTGCGATCCTTCGATTTTCACCTATCATTTATAAAGCTGGATCTTTACCATCCCTAAATATTTTAAAACCATTTGTTTTCACGCTAGGCAGTAATGGAAGGCAACTATGTGGTGCCAGATCAGCTGCGAGGGAGATAAATAGGACTTCTTGATAGTTTAAAGGTAAAAAAATGGACTGTACTTTTTTTTAAAAAAATTATCCTACTATTTTTTGTCTAAAAAATTGAGGCAATTAAAAACACTAAATCTTGTTTGATCCTAAAAAAATCTAGTTCAAAAAATGATGAAACCAATTTTAGATTGTTTTTCCCTAAATCATACTCTATAACTCATAAGTATGATTCCTAGATTAATTTTTTTTGAATTTTTTATGGACTCCTTTTAGTGTTTATTTGCTATTAGACGCTCTGGTATCTATTGTAATGAGTCGCTATTGACCAACCTGACTACGTACTACATCCGTTCCTAAATGTCTGTCGTTTTTGCTTATTGAGAAATAACTTTGACTAAATATATATTAAAAAATATTAATATTTATGATACATAATTATATCATTGGATAAATATTTAAATCTAATTTTTTAATAAATTTATTTAAAGATAGAAATATTATACGTATTTTTTATAAATCAAATTAAAATTATCGACACGTAAATCACGATGAATAGAAGGCAAAGTGACACAGAGTACCCCAATCCCACTTCCCGTTCACCGTATAATTTTCGAGCCAACGATCCGACAGCGCTTCCCTTTCCTTTCCCGTCCACCGGTCCCTTTCCGTGTATTGCACGTGACGAGCGCGTGAGCCAGCGGACGCCGCCGAAAATTTCATTCTGAAATATCCCCCCCGCTCCCCCCTCCCCCTTCCACACGACGCCCAAACGAAGCGGGCGGCGATTTTGAACAGTGCGGTCATTCATCTTCTCTCCCCATCGCTCTCCTCCTTGGTCGCCGGATCTGATTCGAGGGATCCCTGCTGGTGGGTGTCCTTCGGAAATCGTCGTGAGGTATTGCTGAGCCGAGTTCTCTTCTCTCTCGTTTCTCCGTCATTGCCATTATCGCGGGATTCGATTAGAGGTGTTCTAGGTCATGGCGCCGCGCGGTTCCAGGCACTGATGAGTGCCACGTCCCTTATCTCCCCGCTCCTTCCCTGCCTTGCGTGGCCGCCGCGGGTTCGCCGGCCCCGGCCCCGTCCCGGGCTCCCGCGTCGTCCGGGCGCTGCTGACCGCCACCGCCCTCCTCTCTTTTCGCTGTGATTTGCATTTGTTGGGGGATTCGATTCGAGGCCATGTCGAGTAGTTCTCTAGGTCTTCTCTTTTCTGAATGCGTGCTCTGTCGTTCGTCCTTGCCTGCCCTGCACGGCGTCCCCAATTTCCTCGCTGTCGTGCGCGACCGGCGCTGGTTCACCGTCCTCGGCTCCGACCCCGTCTCCCTCGTCGTCGCCGCTCGACGTCCTGGCCCTGATGACCGCCACCGCCCTCCTTTTGCTGCTCCTTTGTCCCCCGTGCTTGCCGTGCTGTTCGGCGACTTTGTCTCATCTGTTACTGCATTTTTAGATGCTTGTTGCTATGAATTGGGGATTATTACTCTACATTGGCAATTCCTGGTGAGCAGAAAGAGCGTGATAGATTTAGATAGATGGTGCCTCAGTGCGTTGACAGATAGCAGCTGAGTTCCAGGGATTGGCCACTGATAGGCTACCACCAGTGATCTTTTTGAACAATCTGTGCATTTGTTGATTCTTTTGGATTGTATATTCTGTTAGGTTGGATTAATTAGTTATGAAATTACAAGAAGGAACTATACTGTCAGCTGATTCATCCTGTTAGTTATTATCTCTTTTATTAAGTGATTCTGAATTTTTTTTTTATGAAATACATTTGGTTACAGATGGCTGATGAGGGAGATTCTTCTTCTGAAGGAGAAAAGTCCGAACAAAGGGATGAGTTGGAGTTGCATTCTTCTAATTCTGATGTAAGTTTTCATATGCCTAAAATTGGCGAACAAAGGGATGAGTTAGAGACGAAGGTTTTCATATGCCTAAAATTGGCGATTGAGAGATTGGTGGAAATGTGACCTGTTTACAGGCCTAATTCTTTGCGCCCCGGCGGCCGCCGTGCCACCCGCGGCCCGCCCCTTCGCCGCCGCGGGTGATCGTGCCCTCGCTGTCGACCTAGCGCACGCAAACCTCACATTTCGAGGCCTAAAACCCTCAGCGGTCGGTGGCCGGCGGGCCCATCCTCCTCGGCCGCCGGGCTAGTGCCTGTCGCCATGGCGGCCCTTGCGCCGCGGATCCTACGGCGGCGACCCGTCGGCTCCGTCGCGTTTCTGGCCTCCATTCGGATTCGGTTAGTCCCCTCGCCCCTCTCCAGCACAATCGCCGTTTCCGTGCTCGGTCTAATCTTCGCCGAACTGGCTGTTTATTTTTCAGCAATTCGTGGCATCGAATGTGCGGCTCCTCTTCCTCATCTCCTGCTGCGTCGTTCGAGCGTTTGTGGGGATGGTTTGGGCAAGATGTACACGGGCGGAGGTGGAGGCCGTGGTTCCAGCAGCCCGTGAGGCGCGGGAGCACTGCGATCACGCTCGATACGGACGGCAAGTTTGCGAGGTTCGGGGTCGGCAACACGGGCGTCGCCAAGCAGAAGGGGAGGCAGCAGTTGCCTCCAAAGAAGAAGATGTCGAGGAAGGCCAAGGTCAACCAGCTCAAGTGGTACCGCCTCAAGGCCAAGAAGAAGATGAAGTCACCCAACCCCGAAGTTAGGATCAGATACAAGCTTGAAAAGGTCTGAACTTCACTATATTCTGGTGCATTGTTTGTGCTAGCTCGCCAATGGATTTGTTGATTTACTAGGATTATAGCTGCATTGACAAGTTGTTTCGTGGAAATTTAGGCTAAGAGGAAGGAGGAATGGTTGATTGAGAAGCTGAGGAAGTATGAGGTCCCGAGGACACCGGAGCCAGTTCATGACCCTGAGATTCTTACTGAGGAGGAGAAGTTTTATCTCAAGCGAACTGGGGAGAAGAAGAAGAATTATGTTCCTGTTGGGAGGAGAGGGGTTTTTGGTGGTGTGGTTCTCAACATGCACCTCCATTGGAAGAATCATGAGACCGTGAAGGTGGTTTGCAAGCCTTGTCGGCCTGGCCAAGTTTACGAGTATGCTGAGGAATTGACAAGGCTCAGCAAAGGCACAGTCATTGATATTAAACCCAATAATACAATTATCTTTTATCGGGGGAAGAACTATGTGCAACCAAAGGTGATGTCACCTCCTGATACACTTTCAAAGCAGAAGGTAACTAAAGCTAGTCATTCTGTGCTACAGTAGCCTATGCAGCTTGATGTCCAAATATACCTGTTTGTTTTTTTTATATATATACACACATCAATCTAATTTACTCAGTTTTATTTAAGGCCTTTATGTGATGATGATTTTTTTTTTTTTGTTCACCATAGGCCTTAGAGAAATATAGATATCTACAATCCCTTGAGCATACCAGCCAGTTTATTGAGAAGCTGGAGAAGGAGCTTGAAGATTACAAGAAGCATGTTGCTTTATTCAAGAACCGTGGGGGAGTTTCTTATGAGAAAATCAGCAATGAAGACACCACTGCTGATGATCCCGCAACTACCTCAGATTCTAAATGAGCCAACTCTTTGGATATGCTGGCATGATAGATCTTTCAGTAGTGAAGGCTTGGTCAAATCTTGCAAGTCTACAAAGCTCAATGTTCACTATTCATATTTAATATGCTGCCTTCAATTCTGGTGATATAGGGAGCTAGCTTGAAAACTCAGATTCAGGTAGAAGATAATAGCCATAGGATCTGTAAGGGATGAGCTGTAGTCCTGGTTGGTGGAGTAGTCCTGGTTGGTGGAAAGCTGTATTACTTGAAAAATACCTCTATCATCAATAAGGCAAGGCTAGTAGCATGATACAGAGTGCAGATCAGCCTTTTAATATTTGTGCCATCTTTCCTGTACACACCTACATGATAAAATTGGACATTCTTTTGAATTGGCCCCCTTTTATGTAGTTTTTTCACTTCTCAAGCTTCGTTGCTACATAGAAGACAATGAAATTGTAATTTTGGAGCTAGAATGGCAAAACTTTAGTCCTGCACTTTTAGCCTTTTTTTTGCCATGGGGATCCAAACAGGTGGATTAAAAGTGAACAAATAGAGAGGACTAAAGTTTAGTCCATTTGCTCCTCAAGGGGCCCTAAACTGGGCTAAAAGTGCCTTGGAGGGTGCAGTGGACACCTAATACCCCCAACCCACCCTAAACCGCCCCCGCTCCTATTCGCATCTCAGGCTCGCAGCGCGCCGCCCCACGCCTCTTGTTCGCCTGCGCACCGTGGCCACCGCCCCGCGCTTCCTACTCGCAGTGCGCCCAAGCAGCGCTCGCCCGCACGGAGCTCGCCCTCCCAGCACCGTGCGCCACGGTAGCAAGAGGTCCCTGCGCTCCTCCGCACCGCGCCCCGGAGATCCCTGCGCTCCTCCGCACCGCGCCCTGGAGATCCCTGCGGTTGCGGTGGCGGTGGATCTCGTACGGCGGCGGCAATCCGGACCCGAGCTCGAGCGAGGCTCCTCTTCTTCCTCAACTGCGTCCCCTCCTCTTCTCCTCTTTGTAGGCAAATTGGTCATTGTAGGGTGAAAGACTAAAGTTTAGCACATGGATCCAAACACCCCATCAGGGATTAAACTTTAGTTCCTTTAGTTCAAGGACTAAACTTTGTCCTTGAACTAGTGATCCAAACAGGCCCTTACTGTGCCACACGTTCACACTGTGGAGCATTCTTGCACCAATGGTGGACGTCAGAAGTGCACAAGATTTTTGTGCCTCGGTTGGGCGTCGTTGCATGAACTTTGAAACAACTTGTTGGTCTTCATTTGTGTGCTTTTTGCAGGTACTGGGAAGATGGGCATGTGCAGGACAATAATGGCTTTAAGGATTGGCTTGATAGAAAAAAGGGTAATTATGAGTTATGATGTAATTTCACTTGTGAATACTTTATGTTGATATTGGAGGATTAATTCAGGTGCTATGTGCATATTACTAATTTACAGGGTATCCTTACTATCTTGAGATTAGCAATGGGGAAACACATGACTGGAGTGTTGAATTGCCAAGTTTGAAGATGTGGCCGCTACACTCTCCCATTGCTATGTTTTGTCAAATAATGTAATCTATTAACAGGTTTCCTTTCCAGAAAGACCTGACATGAAGTCTGTAGTGCTTAAAGAGCAACCATTCTTATTGCAGAGGTAAAGTCGAAGGGAAAGATTTCCAATCTATTTATTGATCTAGTATTTTTTATATTATAGTTTTCCTGGCGTGGTTCTTCCCCTTTTATCTTATTAATATAGTGATACACAACTCTCTCGCGTGTTTGAGGAAAAAAATGTGATTAACAGAGGCAAATTGTCTACTTTTGTAGGGAAACATCAATGAATAAACCATTTTTCATGCTGTTGACATTAAATTTCAGTGATGGTTGCAGCTGCTTGAGCTCATCAATCGGATGGCCTGTTGATTTTCAGGTGAGTACCTACTGGATACTCTTCCAGTTTTCATTGGCCATAGTTAACATTGTAATTATAGTGTATGATTTACCTTAATTGGTAAGGCTCTTGCATAGATGGCAGTTACTGCCTGCAACCAGCCTTACCAGTAGGATCCAAGATTTTTGAACACTAAGCCGTAAAATCCCTCTCCTAGTCTCCTAAAGTTCCTTTCTGTTAGTTGTTGCTGTGTGGCCCTCTGATGTATATTAAGACTCAAGGCCATTATGGTCCAGCTTTTATTGAAATCATAACTTAAGTCTTACAACTGGGGAGACCAGTTTACAGTTCAAGCACTCTGCTGCAGCAAGCTTACTGAGCAACTCAGCCTCCACCTCGAGTCCTCGACTGAAGTCTGACAGCCAACCAAAAAGGCTAGAAAAGACAAGAGGATCAACGAAACTCAAAAGCTAACTCCAGCATAACTAAACACTCTGAACTTTGGTGGAAGAGGTCAACTGCAGCTGTCCCCAAAGAAGCTCGTAAATGCCTCAACTCCTTGATAATTTTGGTGGCATGGGAGATTTTGAAGAATCGCAACACTTGTGTCTTTGATAATAAGAGGCCAAGCGTTCGTAGGGCTATTAGCTCAGAGGGAGGGCTCTGGTGCTCGGCAGGGGCCTCCAAACTCCAGGAGCTTGTATTCAGGTCACTGCCTGCTGGAGCTTAAAGCTCGGAGGCATTTGGTCATTTCTGTTCTTTGTGTGGCGAGTCTGTAACTTAGTGTCCAGGGTGTGGGGTGTGTGAGTTGGGTCTCGTAGACCCGTGTAACATTTATAATACCCACACCACAGAAAAGATCGATCATATATTCATATGCCTAGAAGCATTTCTGTTAATTGTGAACAGATGCGGAGATGCTAGAAAGTAGACTAACTACCAGGAACACGGTTCAAACTAAAAGAAGCCGCTAAAAAAGACCAAACAAATATAGCTATTGGACAAGGAAAAAGGATATGATCTGTTGATTCCTCCTTGCCACACAGTTTGCACAGTATTTCCCCTTTCCACTTCTTAAGTTGCTGTGCTGACTGAAATCTATCGTTGGCAGCCATTCAAAGATTTTTTTAGGCACTTTACTTTTCCATATTTCTACCATCTGCTGATCAATAGCTCCTCCAAACTTTAAATCCCTGTACAAAGATCTCATTGAGAAATTGCCTTATCTTTCTAAGGCCCATACTGCTTTATCTTGCCCATCTGCAAGCTGAACCGTACATAACCTCTCAATCAGTTCTTCCAGTATTCTGATGTCTGCTGAGTTGAAGCTTCTTCTGAACTGCAAGTGAACCCTACCACCCTCTAAGGCATCCTCAATGGAGATTTCAGGATTGTGCTCATAGAAGCTGACTTTCAGTGGACAATCTAGGTACCCAAGGTTTCTGCTTACTAGCATTAACTGGAAATCTAGGTACCCCAAGTGCTTGCCGTTGATGATGTGCGCGCGCTTTGACGTCTTATATATGTGCTGGCACCATTATTTCATTTGATAAACCTAAAGTGCCTCAGTTCCTGTGCCACTAGTGAAACCCCTGTCCGGATTGGAAGGACCAGTATGTACACTACACAGCAAAACAAATAACTGTATTGTAGTGCAAATTTAATGACCCAACTTGCATAAGAATAGATGAAGTAAAATAGACTGGGTGCGTTCATGTGGACTACATATCTTAGTTATTCTGGTACAGGTGCAAACTATGGTGGACTTGTAGTGTGCCATGCATTTGTCATATATGAGTGACAACCTATGTGGGTAGCAATTCTGTTATTCCTTCCATCCTTGATAGTATGGTACCGTCTTTGGTTTACCTTTTAGACTCATTCCTTATGACTCTTTTGAAGGTGTTGATTATCACCATGTCAATCTGTTGTTTTACATCACATATATTTAATGAGAAATCTTATCAATGCAGAAGCAAAAAGACAGCTTCGTCAGAGATAGAGCTGTAGTCCTACGGGAGTTGCACTTTGCTTCAGAGCACGAGTCTTGCGCTGGGCAACAAGAAATTCTGGAAAGAGAGAGCCTGCCAAGAGCTGAGACATCTATTCATGGAATTGTAACAAACATCGTCAGGTATGACATTGAAGATGAAAAGTTGGCTCCACCCAAGGATGATTTGATGAATCACAGCCGCAGCAACCCTGCAAAACGGCACATGGAAGGCACTGATTGCCACTCGCCACTGCCAAAGAAACTGAAGTACCTTTTGAAAGACGAGAAGCTGAACTGCTAAAAGGGTAAGATAGTAGAAGGTAGATAGAGAATGCTGTAGGTTTGTTTATTTTAGTTATTATATGAGTTACATAGCATAGATGCATGGGAGGTTCGCATGCTAAAGTTGAACTCGTCTGCTGCATAGGAAAGTTGGCTGACTTTTCGTATGACTAATTGCTGCCGCGCGCATATCGAACATGGTTCTCAAGATGTAAAACTGAGGTTGGTTCGTAAAGATTTTTGAGCGGCTATATATCAGGAGTATATGTAGATAATATGATGACGAGGCTAATCTGGAGGAGGAAGAGGATGTTTCCTAGTCCCTCCATTCCAAATTATATTAGATGTTTTGATTTTTCTAGATATTATTTTTACTATATATAGACATAATCTATATCTAATTGCATAGCAAAAATTATGTATTTGGAAAAGACAAAACATCTTCTAATTTGGTATGAAGGGATTACGTGCGAGCACGTTGGCATTACCGTATGTGATTGTGCCGCCTATTTCTGCCCCCCCGCTCCTACCGTTTTTGTTAATTTTCCTATCGTATTGATTTGTTTTCGTACAACTGTATATCTCACTGCTATTCCCGCTCCTGATAAAATAATACGGTAACGAAAATAAGGGAGGGTATTTTCCGCCTCTTTTCGGCCATTTTCATCCATATTATTATGGGTGTATGTATGATCGGGATCAATGGAGAGAAAAGGGCCCACAATATGGAAATGAGGTTAAAAGGAGAGAAAAAACCATCAATATAGGCCTGATGTGATAAGCATGACGCCAATTAATTGATTGGAGCCGAATCGTATGTTTTTTTTTCTCATTGTTTGTATTCCACGCTCTATCGATTTTCTCTGTCCTTTTGTTGACTCTTGCTGTTTTCTTTGGTTTATGTACACTTGACCTGTATTTCTAGGTCAATGAAATGTATAAACTCAGAAATTGTGGTCTATATTAAATCACAGCTCCGAACCACTTGATTTTCTCTGATGGCGAGAAGTGGTGAAACGTCGAACTATTATGACCTAACGAAATGCGTGGGAAACAGGATAGCTAGTGGTAAAGCTAAATAATCTTCTGGTTGTGGTCCATCACTTAGCCAGTTAGCCTTGAAGAAGTGTCACAGTACAAACATGTACTAAATTGACTAATCTGTATTTAATATTAAAGAGTGAAAAATTTCTTCTTACACTTTTTTTTTACTTTCCCTTCACCCGCCATTGCCGTTACACAAAATCTTAGAATAGATCACATGGTCAAAGTGTCCAATTCCACTGGCTTATGCTTATGCCTTCGGCCTTCCAATCGATGGACGCGACAGGCACTGCCCCAGCGGTGGGTTCCAATAACCCACCTGAAGGAGCTTATATTTTGTTTCCTCCTGCTTCCTCCGTTACAAATTATATAACGTTTTGATAAAAAAAAAGAATAAAGGAGTAGTAAATAATCTGGCTGCGAATACATGTTTTGTTCCACATTTCGTCCGTCCTCCGCCAGTTATTTTACCGTTCCACGTTTTGTCTTTTTTTGTTTTTGTTTTTGATTGTCTATTCGTTCTTCGTTCCACGTCCGTTTTCCCCCTTTTGTTTTCTGTTCTGCTTCGTCGGCGGTCTGATTTTCTCAGCCATTTCTATTAAAGCATTTCCAAGAGCCTTTGTAAAGCCCACTCTCTAATTCATTATTTAAAGAGTCATTCGCATGAGAATCATTTTTCTATATATTTTCACTCTTCAACAGTTTTTTTATATCTTGTTTATATTTTAGAGAGCCATTCTCGTTTTCTATTTTTAGCCATTGAGAAATCCGAAATAGAAAATGACTATATTTGGATAACCAAATAAACAAGTTGCTGAAGGGTATCTTTTTACCAAAATCTCTATTCCTAACAATTAGGAAGGATATAAAAAGTCTCTTGAAGTTGCTCTTACCTTCTGTTTTCTTTTATATATATGTTTATAAACATAAAAAAACAAATAATAAAAATACAGTATTATGTGTCTTTAAAACCTTAAGGTCGAGATGACGGACCAGAGGACGGGTGAATAGTCACTTTTAAAATTAATCGCGCCGGCTATCCAAAATAAATGCGGAATTAAAAATATCAGTCTAGCCAAGACTATACCCCTCTATATAAGTCCACAAGCACCCTATAAAGATCGTAATTAGGCAACAAAGGTGCCGGACTAGCTAGAACTCACCTAATCAATTCTAGAGCAATGTCACACAAACATATGCACTAGTACTTTAGCAACCAAAGAGCTCCTACACATGCTAGTGATGCAAAAGCATAAAGTTTCTAAGCTCGCTAGTAATACTCAATAACAAGACAACTAATTTCAAATTAGAGAGCGTAAATTACTTAACTACACAAACTAAGCAATATGACTAAAATGTTACTCAAACCAAATTAGTTACGCAAGAGAGTTATTTCTATGCTACACAAGCAAGAATGTAACTAGCAAACTACACAAGTTAACTAATTATAAGAGCAACTATACAAGCACAGTATATGAAATGTAAATACAAGCTTGTGTAAAGGGAAATGCAAACCAATAAAAAGACAAGGATGACACGATAATTTTTATCCCGAGTTCACTTGGTTGCCAGCAAGCTAGTCTCCGTTGAGACAAGCTCCAAGGTTGCCACCGGTCCTCTTGCTAGTGGTGACCCGCAAGTCACGCTCTCTCACGTGAAGTGCTTACCACAAGCTCTAGCACTTGACCCGGCCAGACCACTTGTCGAACTTCGCGTCTCGCTCTACTAGTGTTGTTCTTTGCGGCTCCCGCGGGGTGAGCACAACCCCCCTCACAATCACTTCTCCGGAGCACCGCACAATCTTTTTTGCGTGCTTCGACAGAGACCACCACCAAGCCATCTAGGAGGTGGCAACCTCTAAGAGTAACAAGCACCACCGGCTTGTAACTCGATCACCTAGTGCCACTCGATGCAATCTAACAATGCAACGCACTAGAATCACTTACTCGCAATGAATTCGCACTTCTCGCAAGCACAAGTGAGTTAGAGGCTTATCAAACCAAGCACACACAAGGGCAACACATCTCCAAGGTGCTCAACCAGCCAAATGCCCGAGCTCCACCTCTATTTTTAGCCCCCAAGTCAAATAGAGCCGTTGGAGCAAAGCTGCACTTTCTGCGAGGGCACCAGACACGTCGGTGCGGTCACCGGACACGTCGGTGCGGTCACCGGACATGGGGTGGCGGTGCCCCCCAACGGTCGAATCCAACGGCTAGTTTGACTAGCCGTGGTCACTGGACAGGCGACGGCGGCACCGGATAGGGGGTGGCGGTGCCACCTCGGTCAACACCCCGAAAACCCTTCTCTCTAGAAAAATAGGGCGGTGCACCGCCGTCACCATGGCGGTGACGCCCTCGCCTCAGCACCGAACTCACCACCCTCGGGAAAAAAGTGGCGGTGCACCGCCCTGCACATGGCGGTTTACACTGTCACGTCCGGTGACAACCCTTCTTCTGCTGCTCGAAACCAAGTCCAGGTGGGCACCGCCCTAGGGGTGGTGGTGCCACCGGACAAGGCACGGCGGTGCCAGCCCCAATACATCTTCTCGGTCGAGGACAAGTGGGCACCGCCCTAGGGGTGGCGGTGCCACCCAGGCAGCACCTCGAGCCCGATTTTGCCTCCTTTTCTTCACCAACTTCTTCTCCTTTGTAAATGTGCTAACACCACCAAGTGTTCACCAACTTGTGCATGTGTGTTAGCTTTTCATAAACATTTTTCCAAAGGATTAGCACTCTTTTCACCACGCAACTCAATCCTAACAGGCTAACATGTATGCAAAGTTAGATCTCTCGAGTGGCACTAGATGACCGATATGCAAACAAGTTTGCTCCTCTTGATAGTACGACCATCTATCATAAACCCAGTTACAAACTTCTCTACACACCTATGACCAGTGAAATAAAATACCCTAGGTTATACCTTTGCCTTGCGCATTCCATTCCATCTCCTCCATTGTTGATGCAACACATGCACCAACCAATCACCAAATGATATGATCCACTTCATATCATCACGTGACTGTATTGGTTCATCGATCTTGACTTCACTTGCTCTTCACCGTTGCTTCGGTCCATCGGCGTCAAGTCATCACTCAATTTGCCCTTCACACTTGCAACCGGTCCATTGAGCCAAGTCTTATCTTGATCTTATCCACCTTGATCACATGACTCCATGTCATGTCTCATATGCAATGAGCTCCTTCATCACATGTGTGAGCTTTGCAATATCTCCATGCCATTTCACCTACATGGCAAAGGTTGCTCACACATGCTGTACCTATGGACTAATCACCTGTGTATCTCACATTAAACACAATTAATCCACCTAGGTTGTCATTCAATTACCAAAACCAAACAAAGACCTTTCATTAACCCTTCACTAACAAATAAGGATTATTACCACTAAATTGTCGATGCAATTGTGATTAGCAACAAACTTATTTTTATTACAACCTAGATGACGAGCCAATGGTCCAAGTAATCAAACTATGAACTGAAATCTTGAATAGTTTGTTGTCTAATCCAATCTAAATAAATGTCTCAAAACTGCGCATGTACCAGGGCAATTCTCGAATCCCAACCAGGGCTACCGTGTGGAGAGTTTTGTTGTCATAATCATGAGTGAATATTCCGCCAACATTATTTTTACGCTTTGCAATGAGAGAAAAATATATCAAAATTGCATTTTTAATTCAATACAGGATTAAAAGGACATTGTCATATTCTGCCAACATTAACTTATACTATTGATGGCATGGGATTATAAAATAATTATACCGTTTCAATTTTGTAGAAAGGGTAAAACATAAAAGATTGTAAGATTTACACCTCATTTGTTTTTTAGAAGGGTACAACTGGAGGCATACAATCCACACTCCACGCGCACACCACACAGTTGTGTTTTCTTCCCACCTCATTTCTCATGAAGGTTTAATAGCTTTTTTTCTTCCGCAACGTGCTAGATTTGATGCATACTAGACCTTAAAAAGACGACGGAGGGGGTACATTTATCATCAAATATCAGGGTCAGATATAAATGCGCAACTGATAGTACACCAGTTGGATTTTGCAGCTCAAATTTAATCAGCAGTCTCGTACAGATATTCAATAGAACAAGAGGTTAAAGATAATCGGTCCTAACTTAGGATCACGACAGCCATAGAAAAACTAATGCGAAAGAAAGCGACGGCGGCCTGAATACCAGACCAGCTGAAGTGCTTAATATAAGACCAACCAAGCAGTGTCCGATATATAGATCAGAGCACACAGCCACACAGGCCTCAGCGACGAAGGCCACTGATCTTTGTTTGTCCAACCTCCAAGCAAGGCCAGCCACTAGAACCAACGCCATGTCGTCGTGCTCCACTGCCATCGACGACGGCGCCGCGAACCCGGCCCTGGAGCCGGACACGGACGCCCCGGCGGCCGATGGCCTGGCCCTGGCGCAGTTCGCGGCGGGGTGCTTCTGGAGCGTGGAGCTGACGTACCAGCGCCTCCCCAGCGTGGCGCGCACGGAGGTCGGGTACACGCAGGGCCACCACCAGGCGCCCACGTACGAGCTCGTCTGCGGCCACGGCACGGGGCACGCCGAGGCGGTGCGCGTGCACTACGACCCCAAGGCCTGCCCCTACACCACGCTCCTCGACGTCTTCTGGGCAAAGATCAACCCCACCACGCTCAACAGACAGGTACGTACCTCGATCCCTTGTTGATTATACCAACACGTTCAAGTTCAGTTTACTGCATGCTGATCGAGCATCTGTCTGTACGCGCGTCGTCGGTCGGCAGGGCAAGGACGTCGGGACGCAGTACCGGACGGGCATCTACTACTACACGGCGGAGCAGGAGTCGCTGGCGCGCGCGTCGCTGGCGGAGCAGCAGAAGAAGTGGGAGGACAAGATCGTCACCGAGATCCTGCCGGCGAAGCGGTTCTACCCCGCCGAGGAGTACCACCAGCGCTACCTGGAGAAGGGCGGCCAGTCCGCCGAGAAGGGCTGCACTGAACCCATGCGCTGCTACGGCTAACGCCGACGGCGGCCGTGCCTCTGTCCCATATCGACTCGGTTATATAGTCGAATGAAATTGAAATAGTACTATATATAGTCTATCCATCGCCGTGCGTGCATGTCAATAAATTATATACAGAATATATATGTATTGTTGAAAACCACACGGTAAGGATTGCAGAGAGAGAGAGAGAGAGAGAGAGTAAAGGAGTAAGGGCTGTTACTAAACTCAAATAAATCTTGTTCCGTGTGTATGTACGTGGAAGCTCTACAGTATAACTATCAATATTTAGAGACTATCAACAATACTTCCTCTACGTTTTATCTTTATGTTGTTCTACTTACACCTACTATGTTGATTGTGTGAGAGACGCATCAGAACGAAAGGCCTTAACCGCTGACGATATATTTCACAACATGTTACATATCAACACAACAAGCTCTATATCGACTCGCTATTGAAGTCATCGCCGACCATGACGTCGACACTAGTAATGATGCCTCTTGATAGGCCCCAGCTCGGCCCAAGTCTTAAACTCTTGATCTAGCCCTATGCCTCAAGACCAATTTAAGGGAGCCACGGGTAGGTCCATTTCATCCCTGGTATATTGGATAGCATAGGTCAGCTCAAGTTCTTTTTTTTTGTTACCATGGGTCATGAATACTATCAGCATTTCTGAAAAAGATAGGATAAAAGATTAAAACGTATCACGATAACACATCAAGGTTATTAACAATGCATCAAATTCAATAAATTTGCAAGTGAACCATGATTTTAATTTGATCTATTTTCACTTTCAAAATTTGACATTCTTGTAGCTACTTCTAAGCATAGACATGCTTCCAAGCTATGATCAACCGTGCTTAGTTAGCCTTAGCCATTGGGTCTATGGGTTCCGGCCCTATTGAACCATTTTAAAATTTGAGGCTAACTCTAGTGGCTCACTAACCTTGCTTTTGTGGATTGGGTCAACTACACAATTGGTCAACCTAGGCCATTTCTATCCCTACCGATGATGCCCTCGATGACATCGACATCACATATATTGTTAGCGGAATGAATCTGCTACCTCTAGTTACTATTGGTCTACATCGCATCGATATTATCGCCATCAAGCATGCAACTTCACATTACAAATGGAAAAGGGTCACACTATTTGTATCTCGCACATCGATCATGGCTTGGCCATCAAGCCTGGCTAATGTTTTTGATCTAATTAATTCTACATACAATATATAGTCCTGACTAATGTTTTTATGCAATTAATTATATACGCAAATAGTGTGAGGAGGATAGGAGAAAACCTAGCGGGGGGGGGGGCAAAGATGCTTGTTGAGGCCAAGCCACCAAGGTGCCCCTGTAGTCCAGGCTCGTTTCCTTGTGAAAACTGGGTTCACTCCACTCTCGGGCCAGAGTCCCCAGTAATGAGCATCTCCACGAGATTGCGGATATCCAATTCCTATGTGCAGCTAAAGGGAATTGAAAAAACAAACTTTCAAAGTATAAGTGAACTGTGCTCTAGCAGATTGAGGAAAAGTTTATCCCCTTGATTCTCCTAATAGGCCGGGCCCTCATGTCAATGGGACTTGTCTTCTTTCTCCCCCCCCTCTCTCTCTTCCCTATCCACGGCAGCTCAGAGCAACGCGGATGGCCTAGAGCCCGGCGGGGCTCGCTGGCTCTGAGCACCGGTGCTGGCATCCGGTTGCGGGGCTCATCGGACCAGAGCAACAGCGCGGTGGCCTAGAGCCACAACAGCGGCGCGTGGGGCGTGGCAGCCTAGAGCCTTAGCGGCGGCGCGTGGGGCGCGATGTCCGGCTTGGTCTAGTGGGGCCCGAGATGTCGGTGGCAGAAGGGGAGGAAAGAAGGTTGTGAAAAAAGATTGCTTGCTCCTCTTTATTTGAGCGATAATGATACGCGACGGATGGCTCCGCCCACGTCGCCTGCGCCGCTGGGTTCGTGCGCCCCGCGCTTGTCGGCGCGTGCACAGTTGCTCGCTTCCTCCAGCGCCCTCATCCAGCTCGCCCATCGCGGAAAGGGAGGCTGGGAAGCCTGCACCTGCGCCTGCGACCCCATTCACCTCGCGCATCGGTAGGAAGGGGAGGCCCGCGCCATCGCAGTTCCCCACCAGGTGGGCCGTGACCGCCGACTACACTATGTTTCAAGTATTTCAGACGTTTTTCAGATATGTTGCAAGCCTATGTTTCAAGCGTTTCAGTTGTTTTAGGCGTATGTTTGAAGTGTTTCATCTAGATGTTGCATTTGTTGCTATGGCTATACATGCATGTTTTAAGCACATGTTTCAGATGTTTTTAGATTTATGTTGCAAGTGTTTCATCTGGATGTTGCATAGTTGCTATGGCTATACACGCATGTTTTGAGAGCATGTTTAAGTGTTTCATCTGTTTTTAGACGTATGTTGTAAGTGTTTCATCTGAATGTTACAAAAGTAGATCTGGATGTTGCATATGTTGTTATGGCTATCATGCATGTTTCAAGAGCATGTTTCAAGTGTTTCATCTGTTTTCAGACGTATGTTGCAAATGTTTTATCTGGATGTTGTATTTGTTGCAAATGGCTATGTCGCAAGTGTATGTTCCGAATATTTCATCTGATTCAGGCGTACATTGCAATTGTTTCATCTAAGTATTGCAAAAGTAGATCGTAGGTGTGGAGGAAGCCTAAGCCCTCGGTGGTCCAGCTGTTGCGGCTCCCTAGTGCCGCATAGAGCAGTGAACCAATCACAAGATGAACACCAATTCAATCACTGGGAGAATACCAAAGGGCAAGGGATAACCAATTTTTCTTCCGAGTTTCACGTGCTTGCCGGCACGCTAGTGCTCGTTGTGTCGACCAACACTTGGTGGTTCGGCAGCTAAGAGGTGTTGCACGAACCTCGTTCACACAATTGGACACCGCAAGAACCTACCCACAAGTGAGGTAACTCAATGACACGAGCAAATTACAAGAGCTACCTTGCGACGCTTCACCGGGAAAGGTGCAAGACCTCTCACAATCACCGGAGCCAGCCACGAACAATCACCAACTCATGCCAAAGCTCCTCTGCTGCTCCAAGCCATCTAGGTGGCGGCAACCATCAAGAGAAACAATAAATCCACAGCCACAATGATCCCCAAGTGCCACTAGATGCAATCACTCAAGCAAATGCACTTGGAATCACTCCCAGTCTCACTATAATGATGAATCAATGATGGAGATGAGTGGGAGGTGTTTGCTTAGGCTCACAAGGATGTCAAGTATGTCAAAGTGCCAAGAGAGTCATCCCCAAGCTATCCAAACACTATTTATAGACGCCCCAAAGGAATAGAGCCGTCAGGCTCTCACTCCATCTTTTCATGGGGCAACTGGACGCGCGGATGGGTGTGACTGGATGCAGACCCCCAGCGTCTGGTCCACCATCTCCGTCCACGTGTCACTGCCTTCAAACCTCAGTCGTCTAGCTTCAACGGTCAAGTTCCTGATTGCTCGTGCATTAAGTGACGACCGGACACGCTCCTCCAATGACCTAACGCCATGCAAGGCCAAGTTCAGTTAGTTCCAGTAAGCTCCCAGAGCATGATTTTTGTGACCGGACGCATCCGGTCGCAAGCGACCTGATGCGCCCGAGCGTCCTGTCAGTACCCCGTTCTTCTCTACAAACTCGCCACGCTGATGCCAGCATACGTCAGCACTGATTTGACGTGGCACCTACATGTCCGGTCGCGCTAACTCGCCACAGTAGCAAAAGGTGACCGGACACGCCGGTGCACCAAGGCCAGCGTCCGATCGCTTCTTGGCTCTCTGGGCCAGTCACTGCGCCGTCCGCTAAAATTGACTAGACGCGTAGGGGTGAGTTCGGTCACCCCGTGGCCAGCGTCCGGTCATGGACTTTCTCCTCCTTTTCTTTTTCTAAGTCCACAACCACTTCACCCTTGCTTTCAACTTGCTAACCACAAAGTGTAGAACTTGTTGTGCATGTGTGTTAGCATTTTTCAAAGCATTTTACAAGGGTCAGAGTTATCACACTAGGTTCCTAAATGCATATGCAAAAGTCATGTCACCTAGCGGCACTCGATAAACCGTTTAGCCAAAGATTTCCCCACTTTATAGTATGACTATCGATCCTAAATCACTCACACCCTCTATGGTGTCTTGCGAGCAAAACAAAAACCTATCATATACCTTTGCCTTGATCATCTCGGTTTTTGTTTTTCTCTTTCTTCTTTTTCAAGTTGAGCTTGATCATCTTCAACATATGTCCATCTCCATCTCCATGGACTTCATCACTCATGATAAAGGTTAGTGCTAGGTTTCATCAATTATGCAAAACCAAACTAGGGCTTTCAATCTCCCCGTTTTTGGTAATTGATGACAACCTATTTACAAAGATATTCAATGAATTCTTTTTGGATTCATGTTGCTTGCCCAAACATATTACCATGTGTAAAGGTTATGGACAAGTTTCATCAACCCAATTTGGTAGTATTAGCTCCTCCTACATACTCCCTCCGTCCACGGATACTAGGCGCAACTACTTTTTCTATTTGTCCACGGATACTAGGCGCAAGGGGCTGCGCATGCGCTGGATCGGTGGCTGGATTAATTGCTGGAGCGCTGGACTCCTCGTACCACTCCCCTCCTGTTGAATCTAGACGTTACGGCGTTAACTGAGTCCATATATCTACCCAGAATAGTAGTCCTTGCATGCATCTCTCGCTGGCTTCTCATCTCTTACCACTTCACTTGCATTTGACCGACGATGGCGAAGCGGAAGGTTGTGAGTGCCCGTTGCATGCGCGCCCGATGCATGCAGCAGCAAGCGCAGCTAGAGCTCCGCCGCGCTCGAGCCTTTCGTGTCCGTGCCATCCGCGCGCGGCAGCTGGCGAAGAAAAGCTATGAAGATGCCGTCTCCATGCAGCAGCAAGCCAACGGTGAATCTGGAGGTCATCCGCTCGCGACCAAGGCCGATGTCGATCATGGCGCCGAGATCGACTTTGACAGCATTCGGTATGTCCCTGACT